AGAGGGCATCAGATCCCATTACAGATGGTTGTGAGCCACCATGTGGTTGCTGGGATATGAACTCAGGACCTCTGGAAGAGTAGCCAGTGCTCTTAACCACTGAGCCATCTCTCCAGCCTGGACTTTTTTTTTTTTTTTTTAATTTTGTTTTTATTTTTACTTTCTTTGGGAGAGGTCACAAAGGGAATCAGAGATGGAAGAACTGGGAAGTGAATGTGACAGGTACATGATGGGAAGCTCCCAGAGAATCAACAAAAGTGTTACCTTGAAAAAAATAATTGCTACTGGTTCTGAAATACACTCAATCAGAAATCTAAAGCTACCTTCTATCAAAAGCTGGTGCTATAACTACTTCAATTAACTAAAGTGAATTGTTACATCCAGAAAAACTAACTTCCCAAACAGTTTTTGAATGACCCTGGAAGGAAGAAACATAAAGTACCCAAACATCTATATACATAGTACTAGATTTAAAGTACAAGGAAACAAGAGTTATTATAATTTGGATGAATGAGGCACAAGATACAATAATGTGACAAAATTGAGATATCTCATAAAAACACCTTTCATAGGAAATGATGGACAGAGAAAATGATGAGAAATGATGGACAGGTGGCTTTGATCAGAATCTAAGATAAAAATAATACTAGTCATTAAGCTTAGCTCAGCAGATAAACAGCAAGTTAGCTGCTATGTCCTTTGGGCTCCCAAAACACACCACTCATCCCTTACGGCATTTAACACATGTACAGTAGTTTGTGTCATGCCCACTGAAACTGATCTCTAGGGACAGAGCCCTTTAACGTAGTTTTCTAATTCTAATTCCTAGCAAAGTGGTCTGGCACAAAGATAAAGATGAATGTTTTTTGAAAGGGAAAGAGCATGGTTTCCTATTAAAAGTATTGTATTTTATCATGAATCATTGTGCAGGTCTTTTATTCACTGTCTTCAATTCTAACACTATCCTCCTAAAATATAGTCTCTGATGACAGAATAAAATCACGATTCCTGTCAGTAGGGTTTATTATGTAGAAAAATGGAGACTGGAAAACAGGAAAAGGGGCCTTCTAGGTTGCTGTTAAGTTGAAACTCTAAGTCAGTCCCTAGCAGAAGGGGCAGTACCTGGCTCCTGTAGCCAGCTTCTTTGGGTATTTCCTGAACCAGCCATCACATGTCCTATAAATGAGCAGCTGACCTCTACACCACCCAGCACCAGCTGCACGGACCCTCTTCGCAGAACTCAGAACTACTGCTAACATTTCCTTTTTGCTTTTATGCCCATCTAACCAATTTCCTAATATTAAATGTTGTTCTTACTCAACTTGTTAAAAAGATTTATTTATGTATTCAAGTGCTCCTTTGCATGTATGCCTCCTGCATGACAGAAGAGGGCATCAGACCCTATCAGAAGATGGTTGTTGTGAGCCACTGTGTAGTTGCTGGGAACTGAACTCAGGACCTCTGAAATGGTCTTAACCTCTCTGAGTCATCTCTCTAGCCCTTAAGTTTGTTTTCTTTACTGGGACTTAATACATTGCTAAACAGTCTGTGTACCACATGCATGCAGTGCTGGCTTCAGAAGCCAGAAGGCACCAAATCTGCTAGGACTGGAGCTACACCTTAATGTAAGCTACCCTGTGGGTCTGGGAACCAAACTGAAACCAAAGCGCTCCATCTCTCCAGTCCTCCAGACCTAGTAAATCTGACTGCTCTCTTCTGAAATACCTTGCTACTTGAATAAATTTGAGGTTATTTTATAAAATCCATTTTACAAAAGCTAACTTGAAATCAATCATTTGTTTCTGTTAAGATGAAGCACAGAAGCTACTGAACTTTTGCTTTTGTGATCCAAGCTCTCCAGCTTTGGAATTAAAAAAAAAATTGTTGTTGTTGTTGTTCAAACTAGCCCACAAATGCCCCCATAACCATCTATTGTTCAAGGAAAGAAATCACAATCTGTTTCATCACTAACACAGACAGACCTGAACTTGCTGGTTATTTCAAAGTCATTTTCTTCAGTGCTGGGCACAACGTCTAGGGCCCTGCATACTAAACACAACCTCCGCCACTAAACCACACAATCTTTACATTTTACATACTTTGAATTCTAACTTCTTCATAAAAAAACAACCCCACTAGGCTGGGCATGGTGACACAAGTCTTTATTCTCAAAACTCAGGAGCCAGAGGCTACTGGATCTCTAGGGGTTCCAGGCAGGTCAGGACTACACCATGAGAACCAGTCTCAAACAAACAAACAAACACTCCACTATACAAATAAGCAACACATCTGCTGAAAGCCAACAATAGAAATTCTTAAGACTTTTTAAATCTGTCCTTTACTTACTTAGCATGCCTTCACTAGACATTTCAATCTGAAGTTAACTCTTAAAGTAACTTTTCACTATTGGAGTTAATAAACTAAAATTATAGCAAATGGCAGTTCAATCTCAGAATGTGTGGGCATCTTTCTTGGAACTGCTGATAGCACACTGCAGCTCAGTTCCAATAGGACAGACTTATCCATACAAGTCCACTTCAGCTGCCAGACGCCATAAAGCGTTAAAAAAGAATTAAGAACATGGCCAACTCTACATAAGAGTTTTTCATCGCAGGCCAAACTGGTAATGGGCCACCCACCTTCTTAGCATCTACAGTCAGGGACTCATTACCTAGCTAGCTCCTGACACAGTAAAGCTAGTTTCTAATTAAACTCCATGTGTCTCATTACAAATTCAAAGTATCTATGTGAAATCACAACCTATACTTCCACTCTACACACCCACACAGCAAATACCGAAGACCCACAGAATCCAGGTCCACAGTGTTCAACCTTTGGGGGTGTGAGGGAGGCACGAAAAGTGGGAGATTGGGTCTCTATGTAGTTCCAGGCTGTCCTAGAACTAAGACTGCCTCTGCCTCTCAAGTGCTGAAATTAAAGGCATGTACCATCACATCCAACTGTTCATCCTTTTGACACTGTCATCTACAAACATGCTGCTGGGTGCCATTCCTAGCTATCCTGGAACCTATGTAACCCAGGCAGCAGGCTGGGCACTCCTGACATTGGAAACCTAAGATCAGTAACAGACTAATGAAATTCCAAACATGATTGCAGACTTAGTCTATATTTCTATCTACCTGGGCACTGTCTTGAATGACCCACAGAGGAAATAAAACAAAAATAAATAACAAAGCCCACTAAATTTCCAGTATTTTGCATGTCTGTGGTGTCTGTTATATTATTTATTCTAAGTTAAAGCTTTCTGCGCAGCACATTAGAGGACTGTTACCTTATTTTTCAAATACAAAGACTATCCTTCATAGTCTCCTTTTAGAGGTTTGGATTTTGCATTGTTGTCTGTGCTTGTCTGAGGCAGTCTCATATAGTCCATGCTGCTCTTTATGTAGTCTAGGATGACCTGTCTCTACTCCTAAAGGCTAAATTAGAGCTATGTGTCTAAAGTCTCCAATTTACTTTCCTCTATAACTAATGTTGTGTCCATCCCACATGAGGGATTTAGAGAAATAAGTTAACTTGGAAGAAGTAAAAACCCATATTTGGTGTGATACCTAGAAATTGTAATGTTATATATTTACCAGTAATTTTACTAAATAGATTAGTTGTTGCTATCAAGTCTTTAATAAAAGGATACCTGTTGATTTGACAAGCAGAGATTTTAGAAGACAAAGAGGTATATCCAGGAGTAACATTACTGCCATTTAAGTTCTTTATAAACCAAAAGTTTAAAGTTTAATTTAAGACACAAAATGTAAGCCAGTTGTTTTCAATGTCTATAATCTTGTCACTGGGGAAGCTGAGACAGGAGGATTGCCTTAAACTAAGTATAGAGTACGAGGCCAGCTTGCCTGGACTATTCTGAATGGGTGGCTGGCAAAAGTAAATAAATAAAAATAAATCTCAAAACCAGACATCTGATTTATTCAACAATTACAAATAATTTGCTACCAATTCCACCAAGTACTCCCGTTGATCACCACGGAACTATTAAAAATAATTTAATGCAAATGGCTTATGGTAGTTTTAATTAAAATATCAGCTTAAATTACTTGACATTATGCCTCTTTTATCTCAAAAGAAATAATCGCATACCAGATACTTAAATGCCTATCTAAGCTTTTTCACACCGTATAGAAAGTCTGACATTTCCACAACACGTCACAAGGCATACAAACTTCCGACAGCTTCTTAAAAAGACACCCAATGGGGCTTCGGGGACCTGAATCAGTAATTTGCTTCGGTGGGCAAAATAATAGAAATGAACCTCAAAGTTTCCAAGACCGATTTTTACCAACAACATTGTCTTTGAGAGTAGCAAGGCGACTGCTGTAGCAAGGACCGAGGCTGGGGAGCCGACAGGCACAGAGGGGACCAGGGATTTCGGCAAATACATCCCGGGGTCAAAACGCGAAGCAGCCAGTGGAACAGCCAGAGTGGCCCCCTCCCCCAACGCCGCCTCCAGGGTGAGCCCGTAGCTCGCGGAGGCAGCAACAGATACTCCGGGGCAGGCGGCGGCTCTCCAGGAATGTGGGGCCGTGAAGGGATCCCGAGACCAACCCGGTGCCAGGTCCCGAAGGAAGGAGGGTTGTCCGCCCGGGGCGCCCCTCCCCTCCCCCACGGCGCCGACCTCCGGGCCCGGCGGGTAAGCCCAGGGGTAAGTTCGACTACTGCTCCGGAGCCGCCCTCGAGGCCCCGGCCGCCGTAAAGCCGAGGGTGGCGCGGGTGCGCTTCCTCGGAAGGGCTCTGGACGCCTCGCCAACCCGGTGCTCTCAGGCAGCGAACAATGAGCCCTCCCGGGCGGGCCGCGAGCGGCAGAGCGAGGGGCCGGGGGCGGCGGCGCCATCGCCTCACGGCCCCTCGCGGCCGCGGACACACACACACCCCCAGCCCCGCCGCCGCTCGGGCCGCAGCCCGTCCCGGATCCCCCAGCCACAGCCTGCCGCCCTCGCACACGTCGCCATCCCGCCTGCCCGGCTCACCGGCTCCTGCCCCAGCCCGGGGCTGCGCTGGCCACAGCCGGAGCGAGACTCGAGGATCAACCGCCGGCGCCGCCGCACAATATGGCGAGCCTCGGCTTCCGCAATGGAGCTCGGGAAATACAACAGGGGCCGCTCAATATTCATGAGAGACTGGGGCGGGGGGAGCCGGCTCGGCCGGAGCTGCGGGGAGGGCGGGAAGGAGCGAGCGAGCGAACGAGCGAGGAGGCGGAGGCGCGGGACGCGGACGTGCACCGCGCGGGGAGGCCCCTGGCGTAGGGGAGGGGGCGTGCCTAGTGCAGACCCGGAGTGTGAGGCCACGCCTACACCCTGAGCCTGGCTCCGCCCTCGCCCGCGGCCACAGCTCGCCAGGCGCCCCCAGCGCCAGCGCAGCCCCCAACCAACGCCTGCTGACTTGGGCGTCTCCTTTCTGTCTGCTTTCTGGTCCTGGAGCCTTTCTGGGCCTGCACGGGCCCACAGGTTGCGCTTTCCCGCCTGCAGCTGATGTTTCGATTTGGGCTCCAGCCCCTGACTTCGTCCCCTGACATCACAGCATTAGAAAGCCTAAGGATTTCTGCTGCAGAACTTTCCGGACTTTGGATCTCCGTCTTACAAAGCCAGCAAATTAACCTTCAACTCTGGAAGTGGGCGCCTGTTAGTATGTTCCTACTGATTCCCTTCTATATCAACCTCCTTGGCGCTTTCAATATTCTGAACTTGAAAATATAAGTAACTATATATAGTCATCATTACACACACACACACACCCCAAAATCAGTTAGCCTACAAGAAACCACTTAATTCCTGCATTTAAGTTTTGAGCTAAAAAAGTAACAAGTAAAAAAAAAGAAGTTCCCTAACTTCAAAATGTTGCATTGGACAATGTTCTCATGAAAGGCTAATCAGGAATAACAGATAATAAATGGGAAGGCACTTGGACTGCACTGAAATTGGGCAAGATGGCTTATAGCTTCCAGTAATGTTATTATGGTATTCCTTTTCTGCGGCTTAAAATTTTCTTACTTATTATATATTCAGGGTTTTCTATAGAAACAACTAATTGAATATATATTAAACATGTGAAACATATATGTATATACGTACATATGTATGTATATAAAGAGGGGATTTATTAGAGTGACTTACAGGCTGTGGTAAGGCGAAGAACCTAGTAGTTTTTAGTCCTCGAGGCTGGATGTGTCAGCTGGTCTTCAGTCTACGTTGGAAGCCAAAGAAGTAGGTTTTAATCAGCAAAGTAATGTCTCAGCAGTGGGAGAAAAGAACTTGCTGGCAAAAGCGGTCTACTCCCCCCCTTCCTTTTATGTAGGCTCCCACAAGAGGCGTGGCAGAGTCAGGGTGGGACTTCTGGCCTCAAATGATCCAATCAAGAAAACATTCACAAGTGTGCTGAGTTGTTTAGGGTTTGTTAATTCCAGATGTGACCAAGTTGAAAACCAAGATTGGCACTCACATTTGCTGTCCACTCTAGCAATTTAAAAAGCCCTTCAAGGTTAAACTTCCGAGATGTGAATAAAAGCCAAAATAATCCAGAGTGTTCTAGTCCTCCACGCTCTAGAGACAGGTAGTCAGGAGTAGAAACCCTGTCCTTCCATCAAAGCAGAATGTTTATAGTTTAGAACTTTTTGCTCTAGTTAAAATGATTTTAGAAATCGTGATGTGTGACTAGATTCAGCAAGTCAATATTAAGGAAGGTGATCATTTATAGGAAGCACAGAAACTTATGGGTGAATTTAATATCCTATTTAAAGAGTCACAGTAGAATCATCTTAAAATTAGAAACCTTATGGGATATTTAGATTAAAAGTTATTTAAAAAGTTAGACCTTAAGCTAAAAACCCTTTAGTACAAAGATACTTCTGACAAATCAGTGTGACGTCTTTCATCTATTTTGTCTCTTCACTGACATGAAACCAGTGTGTGGTGGCATACACCTCTAATCCTAGCACTCAGGAGGCATAGACAGGTGGATCTGTGAGTTCGAGGACAGCCTAGTCTACAGAGTGAGTTCCAGAACAACCAGGGCTACACAGAGAAACCCTGTCTTGAAGAAAACCAAAAAACTTGGAATGAAACTTCCTAGACTGGATTAAACAGGAAAGTTATGTTCTGGCATCTAGTAACAAACATGTCTAAAACCTTTAGATTCAAGGAAACAAAGGTTTATCACCTGCTCATCCTTAGTGATTAATAAGGATCAGAATCACTGGTCCAGTCTCTGTAGGAACCAGATTGACAGAGACCTCAGTCTCTTAGCTGTATCACCTTGTGTTAGTCAGGGACCTCTAGAGTAACAGAACTTACAGAATGGATCTCTCTCTCTCTAGAGAGAGAAGTGGAATTTATTAAACTGACTTACTGCTGTAGTCCAGCTAACCCAACAATGGCTGCCTATGAATGGAATGTCCAAGAATCCAGTAGTTCAGTCCAGGAGATGGGATATCTTAGCTAGTCTTTTGTATATGCAGGAATCCCGAAGAAGTGGGCTCTAATGCCAGTGAATGAGTGGTTTTGCTAGACGAAAGAGTAAGCAGGCAAAGAGCAAGAACTTCCTTCTTCCGTTTGCTTACACAGGCAAACAGCAGAAGGTGTGATACAGATTAGAGGGGGATCTTCCCAGGTCAAAGGTCCAGATTAGAAGTGGATCATCCCGCTTCAAATTAAGCAAAAGTCCCTCCATTTTTGGTTTTTGTTAGTTCCAGATGTAGTCAAGTGGACAACTAAGAGTAGCCATCGACACACCTGAATCACAGTAATTCATTCTCTGTAGCAGAGAAAGAAATAATTGGGAGAAATAATTTCAAAACCTTACTTTGGAAGAGACAGGATCACTGATCAAATTCCACTGGCCAGAACAAGTTACCCAAGTCAATACATCTACAAAGAGAGTGCAAGGAAGAACTCAGGAAGTTCAAGGAGAGTTCAGGAAGAAGGGGAGAGTTATGAGTGAACAGTTGTAATGTGAGTGATGGGGAGGCCAGCAGTTGGCCCATGGATGCTATGAAAAACTCCTAGAAAGTTTATAACTGTCACCACACAAACCATATGAACACAAATCTCAGTTAAGCAAGAATAGTTTATTGAACCCACACCCCAAGACTGAATGTTCAGGGCCACAAAAGGGCCTCAGCAGCCTAAATGTGATACCAGTCTGTCTTTAGGGCAGGCTTTTTATGTGAAAAAACAGGTTCAAAAGTTTAAAGGCAAGCAGTAAGGTGGCACATTTTTGGCTGTCTAGACAAAGTATTATCAGCTATCCTTTGAACTGATTGGTCCTATTCAAGGGGAGGCACAGGTCGTGAACCAGGGAGTCCCAATACTTGATATAACAGAGTACAAGAGATTCAACCATAATTTTGGCTTATTAATAGCATTCTTCCCTGTCAGCTATGGATTATTTCTTCTGGGAAGTGGAGTCTGAGAACCTGAACTTAATTTCACCTTCTGAGCAAAATGGAGGCTGAATACAAAATGGCTACAGTTATGTTAAAAGGAACAGGCCTCAACAATAACTCTAGTTCTTGGGTGGTTTCCTGAAAGTTATTCCTTCAAAAATAAACTGTACATGTTTCCTGTCATCTAGTGTAGACTTTCCAATCTCTTCTCCATTCTTTTTGTTTTCTGGTTTTGGGGAATCCGTGAGTTTGCAGACTTGGCTGCTCAGTTTGTTTTTTGATTGCTGTTGAAGTTTGTTTTGTTTCTTTTTGTTTTGTTTGAGACAAGCTGTCTGGACCTCATCAAACTCACAGACAATTCTGTGTTTGTCACCTAAGTACTTGGCTTACAGTTAGAACCACTACAGTCAGTAGGTGCAGTCATTAAGAAGCTCAGGGTGGCCTCAAACTCACAATTCTTTCTGCCTTAGCTTCCCAAATGTTGAGATTATGAACATGATTTATTTTTAGACTTATTTATGTGTATGAGTGTTCCACCTGAGTGTATATAGGACACTAGTACCACCTGATGCCTGTGGAAATCAGAAGAGGGCATCAGGTCATTTGCAACCAGAGTGAACCACCATATAAATGCTGGCAACCAAACCCTTGTTAACTGAACTTAGAGGTCCTGAGTTCAATTCCCGGCAACCACATGGTGGCTCACAACCATCTGTAATGGGATCTGATGCCCTCTTCTGGGGTGTCTGAAGACAGCTACAGTGTACTCATATACATAAAGTAAATAAAATTAAAAAAAAAAAAGAGGGAGTCAATCCTTTAATCAGCTACATGCTAGATAGTGCCATGAAGCTTTGGGATTATGTAAGTCTTACGAGAATGGTTAAAGAGACGAGGTTACAGTATTCCACAGTTAGAAATATTTAGCCGGGTGGTGGTGACGCACGCCTTTAATCCCAGCACTTGGGAGGCAGAGGCAGGTGGATTTCTGAGTTTGAGGCCAGCCTGGTCTATAGAGTGAGTTCCAGGACAGCCAGTGCTGCACAGAGAAACCCTGTCTCGAAAACAAAACAAAACAAAAAAGAAATATTTAATGTGGACTTACTGATATAACCTAGAAAATCGGGGAGCATCTGTGTATTAATAAATATACAATTCACAGTCAGTGTATCCTTTATGATTTGTCATTTGGAAGCATCATTCTTTTTGACAATGTTTTTCATTTCATGTAAAGAGTGTCATCTTGCAGCTAGACATGGTATGATGGCTATTCCCAGTGGTCAGTCTGACTATTATGATCCAGATCTTGAGGCTAGAAGACACAAGCTTTTTGACTGGATCTTGACATGAGATGACACACAGTTTTGATCAGGATTTTGAGGCCTAGTGGCCAAGTAAAGTTTAGGCCCAGGCAAGATGGTATACACCTTGAATTCCAGGAGTCAGAGGCAAGCAGAACTCTGAGTTCAAGGCCAGCCTGCAACAAAACAAGTTCCAAGTGAAGGACAGCGTAGGTCCAGGCAAGGTAGTATATACCTTTAATCTGGGCCTACATAAGGACAGTAGAAGTCTCTGTCACCTGCTTGCACTTACTTGCCAGCACATCCATTGGAACCTACTTCTTCAGGGTCCCAGCTTATACAGAAGGCCAGCTAAAACAGCAGCCTCAGGGACTGAGCAACTACTAGATTCTTGGACTTCCTATTGACAGCTTCCCATTGTTGAATTGGTTGGACTGCAGACTGTAAGTCATTCCAATAATTTCCTTTAATATATAGAGACATTCCATAAGTCCCATGACTCTAGGGAGCCCTGACTAATAACATGTGGTGATGCCCATTTTTCACCCCAGCATTCTG